CCACGCCATTTTAAATTTTCCTCCAGCTTCGCTTATATATATATACCTATCCATATAATTCTCCGTCTTATCAGAGCTGACTAGTTAACAAAAGAACACGGATTCTTCTACAAAAATGTTCTCTTTCTAGTCAAGTAAAAGTGTGTAGCATTTGTTTTTGGTAAATTTTAAAAAGACTTTCATAAAGAAACCCAAATATGCTGTAGTTTGTGGTATTTCGCGGGGAGTGGGAAGTCCTCCCCGTGTCTATGTGTCTGCTCAAGTCGTTCCCAGATAAGACTCAATTAACAACTAACCAAAGTATCTTTTGTGTACCTACTCAATTTAAGAAGAAACAAGCCAGTACAAATATTTTTCCCGAATGGCTTCAGTAGATTTTAAGGTTTTAGTCATAAAAGTACTAATTATAGGTAAACAAACCCTGTTAATGAGGGTTTAGTCAGCTAAGATAAATAAAATTCGATTTGTTGAAACGATCAAGAAGGAAATAAAATAAAACTGAAAAAACTTCAAAACGCAATCAAAACTGACAAAACTTAATAAATCAATAAATAAATACAATATCAATTTCAGATGCTTCACTAATTTGTTTGTGTCGTCGACGTGTGTAATTTCCTTTGTCAGCTTTTCTAATCATTAAGGTTATTAAAATTGCATTTGTTGTAATAAGATTTATTAGTTTTCATAAAATTGTTGAGTGTTCTGGATGCTGCTGACAAAAAAATATAGATGTTATTGAATAAATGTAAATTACAATCATTATTGATTTCAGTGTTAATTAAATTTAAATCATCATCATTATAAGGTCGTCAATCCTAAAACTGGTTGGACACGTACCTCCACTTTTTCCTATCTTGAACTAATCTTCGCATTTCCTTAAAACTGCAACTCACATCCTTAACTATTTGCGAACAGTAATCTAACCTAGGTCTGCCTCTACCACTCCTAACTCCTGTTTCTGCCTCTAATATGTCTCTGACTAGACCTTCCTACTAACCTATCTCGCCCATTTTTTATTGACTTCCATAGAGTCCTCTGTTCTGCTATTCTTTCTAATACCTCTTCATTTCTAACATTTTCTATCCACGTTTATCCTAATCATTCGCCTATAACACCACATTTCGAACGCTTCTAACCTGTTCTTTTCCGCCGCGCCCACTGTCCATGTTTCGGACCCGTACAAAGCCGCGCTCCAAACATACACCTTTAACAACCTTTCTCGAATTTCTAAATTAACCGTTCGCGAGCATAGAAGTCACTTCTTTTTATTAAAGGCTACACGACCCTGCGCTATCCTCTGTTTTATATCCCTGCTACTCCTTCCGTCCTAACTTATCTAACCTCCTATATATCTAAAATCAGCCATCAGTCTCCTATCTTTATATTCGCTCTTTCCCTAATTTTTCTTCCCTTGCATACTAGTATTTTAGTTTTACTTTTATTTATTTTCGTACAGTACTCATTTGTTAGTACCGCTTCCATTTTATTTATAGCTCTCTCTAAGTCCTCCTTGCTAATAAATAAGGGAACAACAGGAATGAACGTTTATTGTATTGTATCTAATTGTGTACAAATTAATATCAAGAAATTGCTATATCATTAGGCATGTTGCCCACCTAAAAAATGAAATGTAGTTGGGACATTCAAAAATGGCATACTTTTAATATTTAGACGGCCAACATGACGTTGTGGTGGGTGCAGTCCCGAAAACCTCCCTCCATCATCGTAAACAACCGCCCCATCAAATGGAGCAACTCCGTCACTTAGCTAGGCGTCGTCTTCAGCAGATCCCTAAACGGATGGCACCACATCACAGTTACCCGTAATAAAGCTGTGGGTGCATTTATCTCAATTAAACCTTTCTTCAAACGAAAATCCGTGCGTTTATAGCAATCATCAGGAGCATTTGTTCCTACGCCATCCCTATTTGGAGCTGTACCCATCCCCGACGGCTTCAAATTCTTCAAGGTACTTGAATGAGGATTCTTCTCTCCGAACTCAGCTACCCATAGTTCATTAGAAATACCCAATTTTTGAAAAAAAAACTGGTCTACTTTCTCTCCCCGAAGTTGCAACCAAATTCGCATCAAATCTTAGAGCCTCAGTGTCAGATCACCCAAACCCGTCTATCTAGACACCCTCCTACTTCGCCCCTAAGCCAAACGACCGTTTCAGAAGGCCCTGCCTCCTTCTCTTTTGAGCTGCTCAGTTTTGCTTAATTCTAGTTTCGCTTTTTAGCGCGAGTACTCATCCTACCCTTTGTGATGGGACACCTATTCTTTCCCCCAACACCCCCTCCCTACTTTTACCTCTCTCTCTCCTGAATCTTCCCAACAGATCTTCCCTTGGGAGTCACAACCTTCGGGTTGATCTCCCTACTCGAGCAGGGGTTTTATTCGGGAGGCGCTTCGGCTAATCCGACACTACCCCCCCCCCGCAGGGGATGTCGTTTGAAGATTTCCCCTTCTCTAAAATAATCTAAACAAAAAAGAACACATTAACGTCATAACAACAAGTGCTACGAGCTTCATCGTCAGAAAATGTAGTTTAACTAAGGCAAACAGAGTAGATGGTCAAATTCAGGCTTGTTACAATAATTATACGCGTACTTCGGCTGCTAAAATTTTACAGAGCTTAATTGAAGTGAAACTTCTTTACTCACAGTAGGGTAAGTTCGTTTCATGCGAGTTTCTATGTAACGAAATCACGCAACGGATGTCCCCCCTCTACTAGGCCACGTAGTTGAGTTCGTAGTGGGGATCGCTTGAGCCGTGAGCGCGCTTCAATGAAACGTTCGTTACAGGCAACTCCGGCATGTATAATGTAAAATTTAAATTCATAGTGTACAAATAATACCATTAAACGAATTTCTTAACCCCTATCCCGGTATGTTTGCGTATTTGAAGAAGTTTCATTTCAGTAACGTGTTGTATAATTACACGTTGTTTTTTATTTTTTTTTATTGAGTCCTAATGTGAATTTTATTTTATTCGTAACTTGCTTCATTGAGAAATTACAAGTGCATCATAATTTTTTATCGTTAAAATAAAAAAATGTATCATCATGCGTATACTTCAGAGTTGAATGCAACATTTACCTTGTGGCATTGTGAAATTCAGTTTCAAAATTTAATGAGCCATGTTTACTGCCTGTCGAGTGTTTGGTTCACAAAATTGTTACCAACACATTCTTATAACATGGATGGTACAGATCTTCCGCATAATATTCATGGCTGAGCATTGGAAAAATTTAGCTAAATAGAATCTAGCACATTAGTTAGAATATATCTATATGCAATTGTATCTTACTGAGATCTCTTAGTTCATAAGGGAATATTATTAACAAAAGATCTAAGCATTAGAATCATGTTTACAGTCGTTTTTGGGTATTTCCGCTACAATTACACTGTTTTGAACATAATACAGTTGCTTATGGTACATCACCAGCCTCTGTCGACAATATAAGATGTCTACATAAATTAAGCAAAGGAAACTATGACAGATTTCCGGTAGCATACAATAATTATAAGGTCTTCAGTCCTAAGACTGGTTGGACACGCACCTCCACTCTTTCCTATCCTGAGCTAATATTCGCATATTCGTAAAACTAGAACAACTCACATCCTTAACTATTTGCGAACAGTAACCTAATCTAAGTCTACCTCTACCCCTCCTAACTCCAGTTTCTGCCTCTCATATGTCTCTGACTAGACCTTCATGCCTGAGAAGGTATCCTACTAACCTATCTCGATTATTTCTTATTAACTTCCATAGAGTGTTCTATTCTCCTATTCTTTCTAATACGTCTTCATTTCTAACCTTTTCTAACCACGTTATCCTCATCATTCGCCTATAACACCACATTTCGAATGCTTCTAACCTCTTCTTTTCCGGCGCGCCCACTGTCCATGTTTCGCACCCGTACAATGCCGCGCTTCGATTTTGTTGAAGTCGACTCGACCCTGCGCTATCCTCTGCTTTATATCCCTACTACTCTTTCCATCCTGACTTATCTGACTTCCTAGATATCTAAAATCACGTAGGGATGAGTTATGCCATGGATTCAGTTCAATAAATAGATATCCAGTTTGTGGCACTTCTTTCATAATTAACTTAATAAGCTTGATACTATAAAAACTCTCCGTCTTATTGTATAGAAACATGCGATAAAATTTGAAATTCATGGATTTTCAGATACCCCACAAAAAGCCTATTTTTAAGTATTTAGTATTTAAAATTTATACCTAATATTGGGACGTTACAAAATCATTAAATTGTGTGCAGAATTACGCGTTGCACTTTTAAGTATTAACAGACATTACTATTGTTGGTTAAAAGGTGTTCCTTGTCATTTGAACACGTTTATTGTAAATCGAGTTTCGGAAATTCAGAAAAGCACATCAGGTATTAACTATTGACAATAAGTCAAATCTCATGAAGCTGATTTAACTTTGAAGAATAATGTAGATGATTCGCTTAAAACCCATTTTTGGGTACCTACAGCAAATTTAACGTAATTTTGAATTTAGATTATTTGTATTTATATTTTGATCCTAGCAACTTGAATATATTAACCCCTAGTCACTTTTTGGTTAGACTATCTCCACCAGCTGACCAGGACGTGAGAGATATTCAGATATTCCATAGACAGGAGTATCTCTGTTTCAAAGGTTATTGCAAATTGTTTAAGTTTTTAGTGGGTTGGAGCAAGAAATGCGCCAACAAAGTCGAAATTCGAACCAAATAAAAAAGTCTGCTTTATTGGAAATTAGAAGTGTTGAAAGGCATCTTTCCGAGTGTTGTGTCGTATTGTGTTTTCCTTCTTTGGGTATTTTATGTATTTTTAAATTAGTTTCTTCATTATAGGACAGTAGTAGTAGACAAGCTAACTATTTTGTATTCTAAAATTCTGTAAATTTTCTATATTCTCCAAGTTAAAAATTTTCCTAAATACATTAATTTGTTTTTGAGTTTGTTTAAGTAAATTAAAAACCATTGTTTTGTTTCAGTTAAGGTGCTTTATTAGGTCAGATCATACATCTGGTCTACAATAAATTATAAATAAAACTACGCTATTTACAACCCTTTGTTTTCTTAAACGAATACTATTCTCCGAAGATGAGAATATCAAAATTCTAATTACAAATCCAACGAGCAACCTTTACGAATGAAATAGGGAAGTATGTCCAAAGGAGCCGAATAGTCCTTAATTGTTTGCCTCCCCTCGTATACAATTCCAGAATTACCATCGATCCACGTACCTTGTGGTAAATAAACGTCTCTAGAGACTGCTCCTTCTACTATCACGGGAGCTACGAGAATGTCTTCTCCAAGCATATACTCTAAAAGGGAAACATAAAGTTACCACTATTTATTAACAGAAAATGATCAATGGTATGAAGTTCTGCTTTAATATCATGCAACATGATAGCGACTTCGGATGACGTTGGGCAAGGAAGAGAAAGTAAGAATAGTTTTCTTGCTTCAATGAGGTACCAAGAAAAATCAGAAAGGTTTGCCATTTAAAAAAAAGGGTTCTCACCGATGGGAGGACGTACAGAAACGACTGAATAGATTGGAACTTACCTGAATCTTCTACAAGAGACTGAGGATCGGTAGGATCCACCCACCACAATGGGGCATTTACGGGGTAACCTTTCTTTATGCTGGTCTCCATGGTTTGGATAATGTAACTCGAAAACTGGTCATGAAGTGCAACAAACTTCTGTGAGACTTCTACCACATTATACTACAACAAAAAATATTCATGAAGTGAACTGCTTATTACCATATGATCCATTTTTAAAGACATTTTATGTAAAAAGAAAACCACAACTTAAATCAGACTTAAATTTCAAGTTTAGTGGTACACCTTTGGTGATTATGTTCAGTCATCATAAAGATCCTACTATTGTTGAAGCCAAAAAATTCAAATATATATCGTCAGATAAACCTTTTGAATTTTTAATATTAATATTATGAAAGGTTTTCCGATTACTCACTGTTTTTCCTGTACTATCCGTCACGTTGCCATAATCCCATGGAACATAACTGAATTGGATGGCAGGCAAGAAGGTGTTAGCTTGAAGCCACCTAACGAAGAGTTCAGCACCCGGAGGTCCTCCAGCATTCACGTATCCATTTCCTCCCACCATGTCGGGAAGAACTCTAAAATATTTGTTCAGTTAAATGTTTGTAACAAACACATTAGGAATGATAACTTACAAAACGTAGCCATTCAAATTCATGGCAATGGTGGTTGTTATGACAGTGTATAAGCCGTTGTTTTCTCCCCAGTAAGAATCTTTGTCGATCATTCTTACGAATACAGGTAAATATTGAGTTCTAAAAATACATAATCAGTTAAATTATATACGTTACTTTGGTAAGGAATTGCGGTGCAAATATGGCAAAGTATTCAGATACAGACGTTGTAGGGAATATCGCAAACACAAAAAAGAGATATCAGGAAGAATTCCTGTGAATACTAATAAAGAAAAAGGAATAACATTACACCAATTAATGTGTAGCAGGAAGAGATGCAGACAAGTAGAATTCGAGCATGTTGCCAGTATCGGACTTCAAGCATTCTCCAGAATTTAGGAAAACGGAGACGCTTGTTTAAAGATATAATTCCAACCAAGCAGTTATAAAGCCGACCCTGATCTTTTGCGTACATAAGCAACCTCTAACCTCTGCGTTGCTTACTATTATTTGGTTATCTCTTGTCTATATTACACATGAAGCATTTCCTAACTTAACAAGGGCGTGTTCAAACCACAGTAAATGACTACAGTCTCAATTGGAAACAAGAAAGAAGATACATCTATTCTCACAGATAATTTATTGAGGACTTTGCCAATTTTGATCGTTTCAACGAGGGGCACAACAAGAAGGGGCACCCACTCGATTGGGTTGGACACCCAGTCAATTCCAGTCGATTCAGATGATAACCCAACTTGAATGTTCGGTTCAAATAGTTCAAACTCGTAAATGAGCAGCCGAACTCGATGTTTTCAAGTATTTTAATTCAATACATTGGTGAGCACTCAGTTAAACTGTAACGTGGTTGCGCCCCTGGTTTCAAGTATATTATAAATTTGCAACATTTTTCGGGGATTTTATGGGGTTTTCATCTTCTTACCTGTATCCAGTTCGTATTTCTACAAGGTCTCCAAGAGTAGCACAGGTTTGAACATAACCAACGGTTAAACTATTTGGTGCTAATTCAGGGTCGCCTGTTAATACGGGCATCTGTAAAATAAATAAAATTTAATAACGGAATAACGGAAATTTTAAAAACGGCAATTTAATTTCAACTGACCCTCGTGGCAAAGCTTGATTCTCCAGCGTCAAACTTGAACGCATCAATGCCGTGTAATTGTCTAATTAAATTGAGTCTATCAGCGAACCACTCTCTAGCTTCCGGATTAGTATAATCAATGTAGACTGAATCATAACTTCCATTCACACTATTCCACCACGTAGTTGTCATCGTTCCATTTGCAGCTTTAGCGATGAAATCTATAAAATATATGTCAATCTACAAATGTTATCTGTTTTCAAATTGGTGCTACCTAACCAAAGCTTTTGTTTTTGTATTTTTATAAAATAATTGTAAATATCAATGCCATTACTTATTTATATTTATCCAGCGAGAGAAAGTATACCCAGCAGCAACCGACACAAACAACACAATTGCTAGAAACTTCATCTTCAGAAAATGTTGTTTAACTAAGGAATACAAAGTAAATGCTCAAATTCACACTTGTTACAATAATTATATGCATATTTATACTATTCAAATTTTACGGAACATTAGATTATATTGATTTTGTTTTACTTATAATGTGATTTTCTCGTGAAGTTTCCTTTCGTAGATACAAAATTTTACCAACCCTGCTGCATCATCATCGAGTTCTTTGATACCTGACCTCTGAAGCGACATTCTACTCGACAAATTAAACAAATAAAAACTAAATTCGAGTAAAAGATTTAATAACTAAGCTGACATCTTCAAAACAAGAACTTATTGGTTTACTTTTCTGCTTCTTTTAACGTAAATGTCAAAATAACCGTTTTATTGTCTTACCATTATCTACACCAGGGTCAAGAGCACTTGAACAATTGACATGTATAAACGGATGTACCCATAAAGTTACTCTAAAGTCCATATCTTTTATTGTTTGTACTGTATTATTAATGTTTGGAAATTTATCTCCAAACGTTAGAGATCCATAGCAAGTCTAAAAATATACAAAACAAAAATGAATTCATTTGATCAATGCGCTCCAGCTTACTAAACGCGGTTATGGTATTATTAGTCACTAAGTCATATGTTCCCTCTTCCAACAACGCTATATATAGTTGCACAAGGGTTGATAGATAGGGAGGTACGGGAATGGGAAGGCGATATTGTAAAAGGAACAACAGAGGAAGTGATATTGATAATAGTAACCGCTGGATATAATTGTTATCGCTTCATTTATAATTATACAGTTAAATAATAAATGGATACTTCTTTCATCATCAATTCCTTCGAAAATCAATAAATTAAACTTATAACTCATTGTGACGGTTAATCTGGAAATTCGAAAAAGGTTTTTAAAGGTGTATTGGAGCGCGGCGTTGTACGGGTGCGAAACATGGACAGTGGGCGCGCCGGAAAAGAAGAGGTTAGAAGCGTTCGAAATGTGGTGTTATAGGCGAATGATGAGGATAACGTGAATAGAAAAGGTAAGAAATGAAGAGGTATTAGAAAGAATAGGAGAACAGAGAACTCTATGGAAGTCAGTAAGAAATAGGCGAGATAGGTTACTAGGACACCTTCTCAGGCATGAAGGTCTAGTCAGGGAAATATTAGAGGCAGAAACGGGAGTTAGGAGGGGTAGAGATAGACCTAGATTAGATTACTACTCGCAAATAGTTAAGGATGTGGTTTCTAGTTTTAGGGAAATGCGAAGTTTAGCTCAGGATAGGAAAGACTAGAGGTACGTGTCCAACCAGTCTTAGGACTGACGACCTTCTGATGATGGTGATAATTCATTACTAACCGCAATTATTTTAAACCGATAAACAAGTAACAATTAGATGCATAAAATAATTAGATATATTACCTAATAAAAACTAGTAATCCGTTGTAGTGGTATCGAAACACTTACCTCCCACTCGTCATCTATTTCAAATTGACCATCAGTAAATCCATTGTTGACTATTTCGTTGGCAAATTCAAGTAAAATGGAATCATTAATATCTTTCTTATACCTTGCCCATGTAGACCAAATTGGTCTTGAGATCATTTTATCGTTAGGGCGTCCTGGAATTTACAAAATATTCCCAAATAAAATTATATAGATTCCAATGGATATAGGAAATTGTAGTAAGTTAGCAAACTAAAAGTGACTCACTCCTAATTTTCACAACTACTACTGCAAAAGCAGACAAGTACCTACTGCTTGTTTAATTGTGGGGATTATCAATCAAAAAAAGACTCGCTTAATTATTCAAAAGTTAATAAATATGCTATTTGCAGAAAACAATTTTAATTTTCTGATATGTGACTAAGTAAAGAAACGTAAATTGTTAATTTTACATATGAATCGAATCAATAGGTACTAATAAGTGTTTATCACTTAATATTTGTTAATTGCTTTATAACTTGTGTTTACCTGTTGGTTTTCCAAGAAAGTGCTCTACCGCGTGTATATGGGCTTCCCTCACATTTTCTTGGGCCACTAGAGTGTAATTTAAAATAATCTGTGAAATATAAAGTTAAAATGATCATAATAACAAATAACAATAAACGACACTCTTACTAAACAAAAACTTCTATTTACCTGTTGGTTTTCCAAGGAAGTGTTGTACCGCGTGTATATGGGCTTCCCTCACATTTTCTTGGGCTGCCAGAGTATAATTTAGGACAATCTATAAAATATAAAATGAATATCATTATCATCATAAGGTCGTCAGTTCTAAGACTGGTCGGACACGCACCTCCACACTTTCCTGTCCTAATCTAATCTTCGCATTTCCCTAAAACTACAACAATCCACACCCTTAATTATTTGCGAACAGTAATCTAATCTAGGTCTACCTCTACCCCTCCTAACTTCCGTTTCTGCTTCTAATATGTCTCTGACTAAACCTTCATGGCTGAGAAGGTGTCCTACTAACCTATCTCGCCTATTTCTTATTGACTTCAATAGATTCCTCTGTTTTCCTATTCTTTCTAATACCTCTTCATTTCTAACCTTCTCTATCCACGGTATCCTCATCATTCGCCTGTAACACCAAATTTCGAGCGCTTCTAACATTTTCTTTTTCGTAGAGGCCACTGTCCATGTTTCGCACCCGTACAGCGCCGTGCTCCAAACATACACCTTTAACAATCTTTTCCGAATTTCTAAATTAACCCTTGGCGAACATAGAAGTGACTTCTTTTTATTGAAGGCGACTCGATCCTGCGCTATCCTCTGCTTTATATCCCTACTACTCCTTCCGTCCTGACTTATCTGACTTCCTAGATACCTAAAATCGGTCACTTCTTCTAATTTTTCGTCTCCTATCTTTATATTCGCTCTTTCCCTAC